GTATGTACCATTTTACATCTATGAGAATTCCTGTTGCTCTACATCCTCAACAGCACTTAGTATTGTCAGTCTTCCTGATTTTAGTCATTTTAGTGGGTGTGTAGTGGTATCTCATTGTAGTTTTACTCTGCATTTCCTAGGTGCAAATTGCAACCTTTTACAGTTATTAAGACTTGTAGCCCAGCATATGGTTCTGTTTTGTTCAGAATTCCATGTGTACTTGAGACGAATGTCTTTCTGCTTTTGGTTGGAGTACTCTATAAATGTCATTTTTTTTTTTTTGGGGTACGCAGGACTCTCACTGTTGTGGCCTCTCCCATTGCGGAGCACAGGCTCCGGATGCGCAGGCTCAGCGGCCATGGCTCACGGGCCCAGCTGTTCTGCAGCAAAGGGGATCCTCCCGGACCGGGGCACAAACCCACGTCCACTGCATCGGCAGGCGGACTCTCAACCACTGCGCCACCAGGGAAGCCCTATAAATGTCATTTAAATAAGGTGGTCAGTAGTGTTATTTGGGTCTTTTATGTCCTTACTGATTTTGTTTTCAGTTGTTCTATCAATTCTTGGGAGAGGAGTATTGAAATCTTCAGCTCTATAGATTTGTCTCTTCCTCCTTTCAGTTCTCTCAGTTTTTGCTTTATCTTGAAGTTCTTTAATTTCATGTATGCTCTTGTAGGATGGTTAAGTCTTCATGATGAATTGATCCTTATATCGTTATAAAATGTCTTCTTTGGGAATTCCCTTGCTGTCCAGTGGTTAGGATTCTGCGCTTCCACTGCAGGGCGCCCGGGTTCAATCTCTGGTCAGGGAACTAATATCCCGAAAACTGAGTGGCACGGCCCACCCCAGAAAAGTTCTCTTTATCTCTGTAATAGTCCTTGTTCTGAAGTCTGTTTTGTCTGATACTGATGTGGCCTCTCCAGCTTCCTTATAGTTAGTGATTGCTTGGTGTATCTTTCTTCTCCCTTTTACTTTTTTTGTTTTTTAATAAATTTATTTATTTTTGGCTGCGTGGGGTCTTCGTTGCTATGTGCGGGCTTTCTCTAGTTGTGGCGAGCGGGGTCTGCTCTTCGTTGCGGTGCGTGGGCTTCTTATTGCAGTGGCTTCTCTTGTTGTGGAGCTTGGGCTCTAGGCGTGGAGGCTTCAGTAGCTGTGACACGTGGGCTCAGTAACTGTGGCTCGTGGGCTCTAGAGCACAGGCTCTGTAGTTGTGGCGCACGGGCTTAGTTGCTCCGCGGCATGTGGATCTTCCTGGACCAGGGCTTGAACCTGTGTCCCCTGCATTGGCAGATGGATTCTTAACCACTGCGCCACCAGGGAAGTCCATCCCTTTTACATTTAACTAGCTACATTTTTATTTTTAAAGTGCATTTCATGTAGGGAGAATGTAGTCGGGTCTTCCTATTTTTAAAATTCAATTTGGTAATCCTTGCCTTTTAATTGTAGTGTTTAGGTAATTTAATGTAGCTCTCAATTCTTGCTCTTTGCTTAGTATTTGTCCCATCTATGTTTTGTTTCTTCTTTACTCTTTTGCCTACCTTCTTTTGTATTAATTTAGCATTTTTTGGTATTTGATTTTGTTTCCACTGTCATCTCATTAGCTGTTCCTTTGTTTTATATTTTTAGTGATCGCTCTAGGATTTACAATACGTGTCCTCAATATGTATCACAGTCTACCTTCACATGATGTTACCCTGTTTCATGTATAATGTGAGAGCCTCATAGCAGGACTCCCATCTCCCGTCAATTTGTCATACATCTTGCCTCTGTGTATGTTGTAACCTTACAGTGTATTGTTTTTACTTTAAACACAGTTATTTTCCAAGGAAATTTAAAAATGAGAAAAAAGTCTTTAACATTTATCCATGTTTTACTATTTCCATTTTATTCTTTGCTTTCTGTAGATTGTAGTTTTCTGTCTGGTAGTTATTTTCTGCTTGAAGAATTTAACATTTCTTCTAGAGTAAATCTACTGGTGTTGAATTCTTTCAGCTTTTGTTTGACAGTTTGCTTCACTTGCATTTTTTTAAAAAAATTATTTATGCTGCGCCACTTCTTAGTTGTGGCATATGGGATCTTTTTTTTTTAGTTGTGGCACGTGGACTTCTTAGTTGTGGCATGCTGGGTCTTTAGTTGAGGCATGCAAACTCTTAGTTGCAGCATGTAGGATCTCGTTCCCTGACCAGGGATCAAACCTGGATCCCCTGCAATGGGAGCACGGAGTCTTACCCACTGGACCACCAAGGAAGTCCCTTCACTTGCATTTTTTTTATTTTTTCACTTGCATTTTCGAAAGATATATTGCTGGTTATAGAATTCTGGGTTGACAGTTTTTTCTTTCTGCATTTTAAAAGATATGGCTTGGTTGGTTCTGATTGGTTCTTTTTTTTTCAATATTTATTTATTTGGCTGTGTCAGGTGTTAGTTGTGGCACGTGAGACCTTCGTTGCGGCATGTGGGATCTTTTGTTGCCGCACATGGGCTTCTCTCTAGTTGTGGCGCATGGGCTCAGTAGTTGTGGTGCGTGGGATCTCTAGTTGTGGCACGCAGGCTTAGCTGCCCTGCGGAGCTCTAGTGGAATCTTAGTTCCCCATCCAGGGATCGAACCTGCATCCCCTGCATTGGAAGGTAGATTCTTAACCACTGGACCACCAGGGAAGTCCCGGGAAGTCTGTCTTTACTCATCTCTATTCCTCTGTGTAGTGTGTACTTTTTTCTCTGGCTGCTTTTAGAATTTTCTTTTTACTGCTGGTTTTCAGCAGTTTGATTATGACATGCCATGGTGTGTTTTTTTTCCTTTTTGTCCTGCTTTGAGTTTGCTGAAACTTTTGGATTGATAGGTTTATAGTTTTTATCAGATTTGAAAATTTTTTGCCTCTTATTTCTTGAGGTATTTCTTTTGCCCTTGCCTCCATCCTCTCCCGCTTGGACTCCAGTCACACATCTGCGGATACACTTGATACTGTGGCAGTGTTGCTGAGGCTGTTTAGTTGTTTACTTCCTTTTTCCCCTTAGGGTAGAAGTTTTTATTACTGTGTCTTCAAGTTCTCTGATCTTTTCTTCTGCAGTGTCTCATCTGCTATTAATCCCATTTAATTTTTCATTTCGGATCTTATTTTCCAGCTCTTGAAGTTGTTTGTTTTTTACATATCTTCTGTTTTTTAAATATCTATCTTAGTTGCATGCTGCAACTAAGAAGTCCACGTGCTGTATATTGTTCATGTTTTCTTTTACATCCTTGAGGATATTTTGTAGTATTTAAAGTTTATATCTAGTAATTATATCATCTTTGTCATTTCTGGTCATTTCTTTTTTTAAAAATAAATTTATTTATTTATTTATTTATTTTTTGTGGTACACGGGCCTCTCATTGTTGTGACCTTTCCCGTTGCGGAGCACAGGCTCCGGACACGCAGACTCAGCAGCCATGGCTTCCGGCCCAGCCGCTCCGCGGCATGTGGGATCTTCCTGGACCAGGGCACGAACCTGCATCCTCTGCATCGGCAGGTGGACTCTCAACCACTGCGCCACCAGGGAAGCCCAGATTTATTTTTTTTTACTTATTTTTCTGGCTGCGTTGGGTCTTCTTTGCTGCACGCGGGCTTTCTTTAGTTGCGGCGAGCGGGGGCTACTCTTCGTTGTGGTGTGCAGACTTCTCATTGTGGTGGCTTCTCTTGTTGTGGAGCACGGGCTCTAGGCACGTGGGCTTCAGTAGTTGTGGCATGCGGGCTCAGTAGTTGTGGCTCATGGGCTCTAGAGCACAGGCTCAGTAGTTGTGGCGCACAGGCTTTGTTTCCATGGCATGTGGGATCTTCCTGGGCCAGGGATTGAACCCATGTCCCCTGCATCGGCAGATGGATTCTCAACCACTGCGCCACCAGGGAAGTCCCTCGTCATTTCTGTTGACTGATTTCCCTTCTGTTAGGGGTCACAGCAGTTTTAGTTATATGTCTAGTAAATTTTTAGTGGATCATGGACATTGTGATTGTTATGTTGTTGGGTTTAAGTTTTTTGTCTTTAGAATGTTGAAGTTTGGCAAGACAGTTTAGTTAATTGTATATCATGTATATCCTTTAAGGTTTGTTAGGGCAGGTATAGCTTTTTCTCTTGCTTTTCTCTAATTTAGTGTTAATACTAAGGAGAGACATTTCTGGAATGTCTGCTGGTTGCTCTGGGTGCTCAACAAGGACTCTGCACTCTGGCCTTGTGGAATTTGAATGCCAGCCCTATATGAGCTATGGGAACGCTGCCTTAGTGCTTCCTGGCAGTTCTTACCCAGCCTAGTGGACTAACCACTGTGCCTGTGAAGATTCACCCAAAGGTTCGAGGGGACCTCTGCAGACTTCCAGAGCTCATTCTCTGCTTAGATTCCTCTGGCATGCTGCCCTGCAAATTTCAGCTGACTCAGCCTCCTGGAACTCCAGTCTTTGCTATGCTTGAGTCCCCCCTCTCTGCATTGGGTTCTAAAAATTACTTTCTGGTGGACGGCCTGAGTGGCTGTAGATTGGAGTTGGTTTGTTACCATGCGCTGCCTGTTGTTCCAGTGTCTGAAAATATAATTGTCCTGTTCTCTAATTGTTGGTGGTGGTAAGGCAGTTCCATATCAATTATTCCTGTATAACTGGAAGTGGAAATCCTTTTTCTTCTGTCTTATTACGTTGGTTAGAACCAGATTGTTACTAGGTCATAGTAGTTGTAGAGGTATTTTCTGTAAAGCATGGTATTAGATATTGATTTGATATAGAATAATAATAAAAAATAAGAATATTTTCCTTACATTTTAAAAGCAGGAATGAATGTTGTATTAACTCTAATGCCCTTTTAGAAACTGTGAAGATGAAAGTTTTTTTTTCTTTTGCTCTATTGATACTTTGGATTATATAGATTTACTAATATTAAACCATTCTTATATTTCTAAATAGCCCTTTTTTCTTTTGGCATTTTGTTTTAATGTCATGTTGATGTTTAACAGGAAATATTTTATGTATGTTTTTCCCTAGAATGGATGATGAACTTGTTGTTGGAATTTGTGCAAGATAAGAAATCTCCGGCTGACCTCGTACATCTGGCTTTTAAATTTCTTTACATCATCACCAAGGTAATATTTACATACCACTTTGTAGTTGACAGAACACTTTCTTAATATACTCGGTCCAGAAGTACCTTCCAAAATGGTATCTCTCAGGAAAGATTGTTCTCATACAAAAGTTGTGGGTTTCATGCTTTCTCTTTTTACCATGTGCTGGAGATCAGATGTTAGTGATCCAGGGGACCCTTTGGCTGAAACAGTGCTTTTCAGCATTGTTTTCTGCGTCTTGTATTTGAATGGATCAAGCACCAGCTAGCCAGAAAGGGACGGAGAGGATATATATACGTATATATATGTGAGTAACTGAGAAAAGTTTCTTACGAGGAAAAAGGAAATAAACTTGGAAGTGGAAGTGCTTCTCAGATGTGGATGTGCAGATAGCTTTTCAGGGATCTTTTTATGATGCAGATTCTGAGTAAGTGGGTCTGCTGTGAGGCCTGATATTCTGCATTCTTACAGGCTCCCAGGTGATGTGTGTGCTGGCTCATACGTACCATGGGAGAGACTTGGCCATCTCGGCTGGGGTTTTGCTTCTGTGGGGCCTGCTGTGTGGTGGAGGGAGGCCTGTGTGCACACTCCTTGCCCTCAGTTAGTTGAATGCAGGGTCTCTCCTGAAGGTGTAGTGCCACCGCGTTTCATGGAAGCCTTAATGAATTTGGGACCTTCTGGGTTCCCGAGGACTTATTCCTCATAATCAAGGTAGAAGCAAAACTTGTTAGTTTGTAACATAGCTATATTTCTGATGAACCAAGATTGGTTGGTCAAATTGGGACAACATATTTATGAAATGATTTAAGAAGTAAAGGTAGCTTTCTTATTGTTAGTCTTACTAAGTTGTATCACTGTAATGTGATGTAATTCTCTTTGATCATTGGGTGGCATAGGTGGTGATTTTTGGTAATAGAGAAAAAAATAATTTTGCTACTTTATTTTCTAATTATATAATAATTCAATGTCTTTATTTGATAGGTTCGAGGATATAAAACATTTCTTCGTTTATTTCCACACGAAGTAGCTGATGTGCACCCTGTTTTGGATATGTTTACAGATCAGAATCCTAAAGACCATGAAGTGAGTGTCCCTTTCCTCCTCTTCATTTCCTGTCCCCCCGACTTATTCCCTGGTTTTCCCTGCTCCTGCACTGGCAGCTTCCTTTCCTGTTTCCTTCAGTTTTATCTTATACTATTTTGTGTCATTCCCTCTCTTTTCATTTTTTTCCTTTGGCTTTCTCTTTTTATGTATGTTACTTTAAATTATTTTGTTTAAAAAAATGCCCTTTATAAAGAAAACAATAAACCTCCATACAGTGTGATGATAACTATATCATCATCCAAATTTTTTTAACTTAAAATAGAACTATGTTGGGGGTCCCCAAGACCACCCCAAGTCCAGTGATTTCCTAGGATCACTACAAGAATTGGCATGTAGTCATCCTTATGGCTATGATTTACTACAGCAAAATCAGCAGAGGGAGAAGGCACATGGGGCGAAGTCCAGAGGAAACCAGGAGTGAGCTTCCGGAGTCGTCTCCCCGTTGGGTCACGCAAGGCACTTGTGATTCCGCAGCACCAAGTTGTGAGAACACGTATGAGGTGTTGTCCACCAGGAAGGTCGTAGGGGCCGGCACCCACGATTTCTGTGCGGGCTGGTCATGTGGGTACTCCGCCAGGCACATACTAAAACCCAGAAGGAAAGCAGGTGTTCAGCATAAGCCACATGGTTGGTACAAACGGCCTGGGCACAGAGTGACCCTCATCAGTTAGGGAATGGTGGGAACGTTCCCCGAAAACCAGGTTCCCAGATGCCCGCCAGTGGCCAACCTTGCAGTCCAGCGTGCTGGGGAGCGCTCTTGGGCCCAGGACACGTTCAGAAGGGCACGCAGGTTGTAACTGCAAACTTAGGGAATTGTCTTGCTGTGCATGTGCCCTGCTCTCCTCTGCTTCTCATGCCTCTGATGGGGAGTCTGGGACCAAAGCAGAATCTTGTTTTATTGACTCCTCTGTGACTGGAAGTTGAGAATTTTTTCTTTATTCTTAAGTCTTATGTTTTTTTAATCTTTTTCTCTGTTTTCCATTTTCTTGAACAGCTGATTGCACGCTGAAGGGTGCCAGTGATGAGAAGCCATTAGACTGACATGTTATGATTTTTCTTTGTTCCTTTTGCTGTTTCTCTTGGCTGCATGCCCCAGGGCATGTGGTGGGGTGCGGTGCTCTGCAGCCTGGCTCCGAGGCCCTGGCGTTTGGAGGCCTGGGTGGGCGCTGAGCGGGAGGGGGTAGCAGGACTGCGTGGATGCCCTTGCACAGGAGTTATGTTGCTTTGACTTGGCCCTGTAGACCTGGGAGACCCGCTACATTCTCCTCCTGTGGCTCTCCGTGACCTGCCTGATCCCGTTTGATTTTTCACGCCTTGACGGCAACCTCCACAATCAGCCTGGGCAAGAGCGAGTGTCCACCATGGACCGTATCCTCCAGATAGCAGAGGTGAGTGTGGCTGTGAAGTAATGAGCTGCTGACCAGTGTCCTTTCTCATGCCATTAGGGCTTAATTAGGTACACTTGTGACATGTGTTTATCTCTTCAGCCATTGTTACTGTTTTTCAGTGAAGTGAAATTCCATTTCATAACTTACCATGAAACTGATAATTCCTAAAGGGGTCAGGATGAATTACTTTAGCAAATCTTATTTCTCTGTACATAGTGCAGATACTCTTTTTTTTTTTGTGGTACGTGGGCCTCTCACTGCTGTGGCCTCTCCTGTTGCGGAGCACAGCCTCCGGACGTGCAGGCTCAGCAGCCAGGGCTCACGCTCCGCAGCATGTGGGATCCTCCCAGACCGGGACACGAACCCGCGTCCCCTGCATTGGCAGGTGGACTCCCAACCACTGCACCACCAGGGAAGCCCAGTGCAGATACTCTGATGATAACTTAGAAGAGGTTTTAGGGGGTAATGGTAAGACAAATTAAAGGTCCATTTAAAATCTAATTTTTAACATTACATAAATAATACATGATCATTATAGGAAAATCAGAAAATAAAAAGCAGGAAGAATATTAAGGTGAAATCTCTCAAATACCTAGAGATAACACTTGTGTTTTTCTTCAAACTTCTCCTGATACAGATGTTATGTGTGTAGACATAGATTATTGTATTATCTTTTGCTGTGGAAAATATTACCCTGAACTTGAGTGGTTTAACACAGCACACATTCTTCATCTCACAGTTTCTGTGAGTCAGGAATCTGGCTGTGGCTTCGCTGCGCCCTGTCCTTCGAGCTCTCCCCAGGCTGCAGGCAGAGCTTGCCTGGGGGCAGGTCGCTTCCAAGCTCTCATGGTCATGGCAGGAGTCAGATCTCGAGGGTGTTGGCCAAGGGCTTCAGTGCTTTGCCGGCTGTTTGCCACTCGAAACCCACCCTGCGCCCCCAACGATGGCAGCTTATTCTGTGAAAGCCAGCAAGGGGCAGGGGCTGTAGCAAGATGCATGTCACACTCATGTGTGGCCCAATCATGGAAATGACATCCCACGCCCTGCTGAATTCTCTTGGTTAGAAGCAAGTCAGCGTGTCCTCCAACCGCGTGGGAGGGATTACACGGGACGTGGGCACTGGTGGGAAGGACCAGGGCCCATCTTAGAGCCTGACCCTGACACTTACTTATACTAACCTTCTTTGAGCACCTGCTGTGCGCCAGACACTCCCCAGGCAATCCCACTAAAGGCTTTTTCATACATTAACTCCTTTCATCCTACTTAATGAGGCAGTTCACTGTTTTTATCCTCATTTTACTGAAGAGGCAACAGGTGTAAAAATAAGTGACTTAGCCCGCTCATTCTCTCACATGCGGTGGATCTAAACTTGAACCTAGGGTTTGGCTCCCTGCCCGTCCTTCACAGTGCTCCGCGCGGCCCCTGTGTACTAGGGCCCCTGGTGTCCTGCTGTTCTGGGACCTGCTTTTCCCCTGAGCAGGACTGTCTGAATGTCTTGTGTCAGTAAGTAGACGTCTCCCTCAGAGTCTTTAAGGGACACGGTGCTCCACTGTATCTTCATTTCTAAAATAGTCTTTTTTAGGTAGGTGGTTTGTTTCTAGCTGTGTTCCGTTAACCCTTTGGGTGCTTGTCTCCTAAGTGGGATTGCCTGGGGAGAGGACCTAATTTCTAACAATTTGTCCTCCAGAAAATAGATCTTTTAAGTGTATCATTTGGAAAACAGTTGAGATGAGAAGTGGAAACCTCTTAAGGTGTAATTGCGTTAAACTTCGGCCCTCCTGTATCTGAGCCGGGCCTCCTAGCTGCTGTGAATGCCAGAGTGCTGGTGGGTTCCAGGAGTGTTCTGTGCACACTCTGGGTAACAACATACACTCTTCATTTTTCTGCTGCTTTTGCAAATGTGGGTTTCAAGGGGTGTAGCCACATGCTGTATGAGGATTGGGCACTTCCCTGAGGGTGAGCACACATGTGGCAGCTGCAGCCCTGAGTTCACGTTATGAGTGGTTCGTGCAGCTTTGGAATCTGGCCTCTGTCCGTGAGCCTGGGCTCTTGTGGAGCTGCTGAGTGTGGGACCAGGTGGCTGAGTGGGTCCCTGAGGTCTACATCGTGTGTTTAATGGTGCCTGTCCTTTACGCTTCCTTGTAGTCCTACCTGGTCGTCAGCGACAAGGCCCAAGACGCAGCTGCTGTCCTCGTGTCCAAGTAAGTGCTTTCTGAGAAGGTTTACTGTCTGTTACTGTGTGTGTCTGTTGTCATCAGAGAGGACGTTGGGATGATAGGCTTGGGGAAGTCTTTGCTGTCCTGAGGACTCTGCTGCTTTCCTTGAGGGAACCCAACGCTGTTTGGGTGCAGGAAACCTTTGAACCTGATGTGATCACTGACAGTGCTGGTTAGGGGCTCAGGGTCACCTGACGCTGGGTTAGGAGCTCGTGGGCCCGTCAAGGGAGAGCAGATTTAGAACAGGTGTAGCAGTTTCGCCGGGGCCAGGCCTCCCCTCTGGGGGAGGGGGGGTGGCAGTTAGAAGAGCCTTTGGAAGTCACTTAGAAAGCAGTCCACACCATGGTTTGTGGAGATCATGGGCTGTGATTGCGTCATTGTGGCTTGGGATAAAAATCCCCAAACATCCCGTGTTAACTAAAAACAACAGGCTGTGCCTGAAACAGGCCAAGATGGGTTTATCTGATGAGCTGGGTAAGATGACCCAGGCAGCAGGGCCTGGAGTCTCCAAAAAAGTGCCAAAGACACATGTGAAAGCTGAGTAGACTTGTTTCATGAAATGTGAGAATGGAAGAAAGCAGTTTTTCTAAATTAATCTTCTTCATGACATGTGATTTAAAGTATGTATATAGCATAAATGAGTTAGAAAATTTGGCTTTTTTTCCCCTCTACATTTGTGAAAGTTAAAAATTGGCTCTAAAAACTTTTGGATGTTTTGATCGGGAAAACAGGGCAACGCCTCCTTCAGGGTCACCTTCTCTTAGGTGTGTAGCCATGACCTTGCACAAGGCGGGAAGAGACATGCTTGATTTATGGGGCAGTTGGGGGCATTGGGGAAGTATTTGTGAAAGTACTGGCTAAACCAGAGGGCAGAGCCTAAATGCGAGAAGCTGATTTTAGGAGTGAGGAAGGAAACACCTGAGCTCGCCTGCGATGCTTACCCTGGGGGAGGAGAAACTCACTGACAGAGGCTTCTCGTGGTTTTGACAAGGAGTGGAAAAGCGTGGCTTTCTTTCTAACTGTGAAAGTAATCATGTGTGTTCAGGAAAATAAAGAAAAGTAAAAAAGTACAAAATAAAACTCACATGTACTGTCATCCCCAGAGATGTAACTGCTCTGTCCTTTGTCCCCCACTGCCCATGGGCATGTTGGTCTGTGGCCCATGGGTACACTTGCAGGGTTGTTTCAGGTGCTGGCAGGCAGGCCTGGAGCTTTGGTCAGTCTTCCAGATGCAATTATGGTGTGATCTATTCTTCCTCCAACCCCACTGTACGTGTGGACTTTTTGTTAGTAAAATTAGCGCCGCCTGGGACACTCTACATGAAACTTTGTACTGTTCTGATCGGCTGTATTTTCTCCTTCCAGTTTTTATTTTTTTTGTATTTATTTATTTTTGGCTGCGTTGAGTCTTCGTTGCTGCGCGCAGGCTTTTCTCTAGTTTTGCGGTGAGCGGGGGCTACTCATTGTTGCGGTGCGTGGGCTTCTCATTGTGGTGGCTTCTCGCTGTAGAGCATGGGCTGTAGGCCTGTGGGCTTCAGTAGTTGTGGTGCACGGGCTCAGTAGTTGTGGCACACGGGTTTAGTTGCTCCGCGGCATCTGGGATCTTCCCGGACCAGGGGTCGAATCCATGTCCCCTGCACTGACAGGCGGATTCTTAACCACTGTGCCACCAGGGAAGTCCCCCTTCCAATTTTATTGAGATATAATTGACATCCAGCACTGTACAAGTTTAAGGTGTACAGCATGATGATTTGACTTACATACATCATAAGATGATTATCACAGTAGGCTTAGTGAACATCCATCATCTCTTATATAGATACAAAATTAAAGATACAGAAAAATATTTTTTCCCTTGGGATGACAACCCTTAGGATTTACTCTCCTTTTTTTAAATTGAATGAAAGATTCTTTAAATTCTAAACTGCTTTACAACTTTCAGAAGTTTCACACACATGATTTCATATAATCTCATAATAATCCCTTTTCCCCATACCCCTTTATTGCCTCTCCCCCCAGGATTTACTCTCAGCAGCTTTCATGGATAACATACAGCAGTGTTCAATATATTTATCATGGTGTACGTTACAGACCTAGTACTTATTTATCTTACAGCTGGAAATTGGTACCTTTTTGACTGCCTTCTTCCAGTTCCCCCTTCCCCACCCCTGCCTCTGGTAACCACACATCTGATCTTTTGTATGAGTTTGTTTGATTTCTGATTGGTTCTTAGGAATGAATTCCTAGAAGTGGAATGAACATTCTAGGGGTTTTAAATGCAGCTACTGGAAAGGTTGAGCCAGTTGGAAGTCTCCTTTTCCCCATATTTAGCAACACTGCATGTGATCTTACAAATGTTTACTAAATTTGTTAAATGAAACATCTTTATTGTTTATTATCTTTTATTACCAGCAGTACTGAGGGTTTGGTAGAGTTCTGCTGAGCTTGACCTGGTGGAGTATTGCACCTGTGGGGTGGGGGAGGTGAAACCCTAAACCCTTCTTCCCTCCCTGGTGTCCTCCAGAAAGGTGGCAGCTGGCGACCCTGGCTGCCTGTCCACTGCTGGAGGGATGCTCCCCCGCCATCTAGTGGTCGGACGAGCAAGTGTTGGTGAGGTTGAGGCCCGTTTTCCACCCAGCTCCTGCCGGTTTGCCAGGTTGTAGGTGCAGCCAGTTTTCCTAAGTTCTAGAGAGGGCGGATGCCCTCAGGTCCTAGAGCTGCTCTGAGTATCCCACCTCACGGACGGGTTCTGACTCGCATATTTCTGTCTTTTTTGGTGGGTTGTTAACAGTGAGGCCCTGGGTGTGAAGGGTGGTCACATGTGGCCTTTGTCCCCACTGGCATCTATTTTCTGATATTTCACGAGGGAGCTGCCTGTCTTACTCTCACTGCCATCAGCTTTGATTGCTTCCTCTTACCATGTGCAGTTCTGGAGCCGCACCTATTTGCTTTCATTAACTGGAACCTTTAAACATCAGCTGCCTTTTCTGTAACTTTGATGTTACATTTACGCCAAGACGTGTGGATATGAGTGTTATTTTACAGAAACTCTTCAATGGAAATACATGCCTTTATTCTTATTGATTACATTAATTTTAAAAAGATATTTTTAATCTAACTGTAAAATCAAGGTATGCTGCAAGTAGAAAAGTTGGAAATTTTGGAACATAGAAAATTAGGAAAACCCCACACGTTTATAATTATAATACACAATACATGTGTTGTATTTTTTTGGTGTTTTTCTGTGCTGTTATTGTATGGAGTTTGCACAGCACAATCTCTTTGAGTTAGCACCTGCTTTTTCACTTAATTTCACGTTACCGTTGATTAAATGGCTCCTTTAGATTCCACTGTTTTTAGTTACTCTGACCAGCATTCTCACGTCCTTCCTCTTATAAGCAATGCCGTAATGACTAGCTTTGGGTGTAAACCTGTTTTGGTATTTGGGATTATTTTCTTAGGCCAGGCCCTTAGAGGTGGACTTCTGAGTCACAGGACACAAGGACATTGTTGAGTCTCTACACCTGTCGCTCGGTGACTCTTGGGAGCGTGTTTTCAGGACTTTTGCAATCATGGGCAGCCTCAAGAACAACCCTCTTCCCCCAGTTGGATTGTGCATTGTTTTGTTTATTACTAACATTTAGTTTGTATTTCACTGATCGCTGGTGAGCTTTAACACATGAGTCTTATTTCAGATATCGTATGTCCCGTGTAGTGACCTGATTTCTAATATCTGTGGGATTCTTGGTGCTTTTTCTCCAGTAGTATGAGCTTTCTCTGTGAAGGATGTTAGCTAGAGGAGGGTGTGATACTTCCTCCAGTGGGTTGGTAGCCTTTTTTACTTTCTTCTTTGGACTAAAGTTTTAATTCTAATGTCAAAATAGTAACTTTTTTCCTTTTATTTATTTAGTTATTTTTACTTTTATGCTTGAAGGCTTACCCTATTAAGAGATTTTACAAAGAATCATTTATATTTTTCTACCTTTTTATTGTTTAATGTAGAATTATTAATCCATTTGGAATTTCTTTTGGTATAGGATATATGATAGATTTTTTTCCTTCTTACAGGTAACTAAATTCTATCACCATTTTGTGAATATTTAACTTTTCCATTAATTAATTTAAAAACACACACAAAGTAAGTTCTTACACAAAATAGGGTTTGTCACTTCACCCGTACTGTTTCACTCTCAGACCAGATACTCTGTGGTAACCGTACTGACAAGGGTCCGGAGCAGCAATGTGTCCCACTGGTGTTTTGCCCTTTGTCCCTCTGGTAGGTCTAGTCCTGTAGTTAAGGTTTTGCTGATCACTCCTGTGGAAATTACCTTCCTGAGAGAAAGACAGTGGGGTCTCTAAACACCTGCACATGTTAGCTGAGTTCCACATTGAAAGTAGATGTAGTCTGTGATGTAACTTTTCCTAAAAGGGAAGGAAGTGTAGGATTCAGAGATCTTTCAGTTTGTGTAGAAGGGTCTCGTTCTGTGTGTTACACCTGTGGGATAGGTATTTTCCATTTTTGCTTATCTGTACTTTTGGACCTCTGCTGCGAACATAACATTTCCTTTTTTAGAGAGAAAAATAAAAAATATAAAATAACCTATTTGCTTAAATCTTTCAAAGGAACCTTAGGTTTTTACTGTAATTTGGAAACTCACCTTGTGTGATTTTGCCCAGGAAAGGAAGTTGGCCGCTACAGGCTGCACACAGAACATCAGCCTCCTGCCTGCTCAGCAGATGAGTGGGTGGAGGAAGCAGGGTGCGTGGCCCCTGAGTGGATGGCGCTGTGACTCACGTCTCCAAGTTGGGCTTTGGGTCCCAGCAGGGCCGCTTACCGGCCCTGTGGGCCGTTCTGTGCCTGTGACCTCGCCTGTCCTGAGGGCCACCCCACTGCAGGCGCTGTGCCTGCCCACATGCAGGGTGAGTGCCGGCCGGCTGTTGTCTTCAGGCTGAGGATCAGGTCACTGTAGGTGTGACCCTCATCCTGTGGCCCCCTCCAGAATCAAGGAGCTTTGAACAGGGCCAAGGACATTGAGATAGGGTGTATAATACCAGTTATCCATTTTAGATGATCACTCTGAGGTGCAGATTTTATGAAATTCCTGGGCCCTCTTCTCAGACCCGCCGTAACGCAACTTCTTGGCTGGCGGGGGTGGCATGTGAGCTCGCCTTTGTAACCAGCATCCTACAGTTTGGTAAATCCTTGGTGACCAAGTCTCTGGGTGTGTACCCTGATGGAGGTGGGCGAAGACAGTCGTGGCAGCTTTGTTTTACTGACACGGAGAGCTTCTACATGGCCGCAGTGTAATCCCTGCGCTGGCTGAGCATCTTGCGTGGGGTGGCGGTGGCTGTTTTGAGGGAAGAGGGGCCTGTGGGGGCTCCTGGTCAGGACAGGAGGCTCCTGCAGGGGTGCAGAGATCAGAGCCAGGCATGTCGAGTGCTGCCCCCAGGGTAGTGCCACCTGGCGTGTTTCTGTGGTATTGGTGCCGAGCCCTCTCTGGGTGTGGTCTGTGGGGCCAGCTAGGGGAGTGAGAGGTCCTCACAGGTCACCTCCCGCGACGCTGTCCCTGCGCCTGCTGTCCTCCCCTCACTCAACTGTTTCCTTCTCATTGTTTGCCTGCTTCCTGTGTTTCTGCCCCAAGACTGCAAGCTCCCCCAGGAGGTCAGGGACTCAGCCTGAGTCAGAGAGCTGGGGGATGGGTGTGTGCACTGGTTGGAGAGGAGTGAAGGGGGCCTGGGCTTTGGTGTGGGAGCCCGAGGGTGGCTGCCGGCCCAGACCAGTGTACAGGAGGGTGGGTGAGAGCCAGCACTCCAGGAGTGCAGCACTGAGCAGATGCCTGTGGTGGGGACGATGGGGCCGTGGACACAGCTGGAGCTCTGCATGGCGTGTGCAGCAGGCAGAGAGGATGGGGAAGGAGTCCCATGGCAGATGCAGAGAGGGAGGTCGCAGGTGGCAGCATGGGGTCCCAAGGTGAAGGGATACAGAGTTGGGCCGAGGAGTGGGCGTGGGTGGGCTCAGGTGAAGGTGGTCCCATGCTACACAGGGTCTCGGGAGGGGGGGGCTCAGGGGGGGGGAGGGGGGGGGGGGGGGGGGACTGTGTGAGACCCCAGAGAGGTGGTGGTGGGAATTGCCACCTGAGAGCCAGGGTCTTAGGTTGGAGAGTGGCAGTGGGCCAGGAAAGAGTGAGCTCTTGGCAGCTGGGGCCTCGCTTGAGCTGTCACCTACCTGTCTGTCCCCTTTTGGCAGGTTTGTCACGCGGCCCGACGTTAAGCAGAAGAAGATGGCGAGTTTCCTGGACTGGAGCCTATGCACTTTGGCCTGCTCCTCCTTCCAGACCATCGAGGGGGTCATCGCCATGGACGGGATGCTGCAGGCCCTGGTAAACACTGTCCCAGTGGTGCGGGGCGGTCAGCGGTCAGCTTGTGGGGCTGTCAGAACCCTGGGGACAAGCCCTGTTTACCTTGGTTTCGTGGGGAAGTGGTTGGAACACAGGAGGAGATGTTGAACCCCGACAGAACAGTGAACACGGTTTCTTTTCTCTGCTGCTTTGCACTGGGCCCTGCGACTGAGGGCTGGCCCTGCATTGTTAGCGATGGGCTTTCTGCTCTGGGGAAGGGGGTGGACTGGTGGCCCTGCGCATCGCCGCCAGGGGGCACCAGTGCCTGCAGAGCTGGAGCCAGCAGACAGGTAGGGGCGTGTCCTTCTCGAGCTTCCTGCTGCTCAGATGTGTTACAGAGAAAAATGATTGGAACCAGCTTGAAGGAAATAAGGCAGGTGGTTTGAAATTTGGTCTTGTTCAGATACTCAGGGTATTTGTAACCACTGTACTGAGCGCAGACCTGGCCCCTGGCCTGAGAGCTCCCACCGTTTCCTGGCTGCCTGCTTTGCTTGTCTGGTGGTGCCTTTTCTAGGAGGAAAGATCAATTGAGTTTAATTGGTTAAACTCTGCAGGGGAGGGGAGGCTGCTACACTTGATGCTCTGGGATCAGGGCTCCCCTCTCTGGGCCTTGTGGTCCTTGCTCTTTCATTGCAGTGGGTGTGATTTCGTCCTTGCCCTTGTCTCTGAAGCTGGAGAGCTCAGGGCCCACTTTGAGGAGAGCAGGGCACTTGGACTATGTTTAAATGGTGGCATTTGGGCCGTGACTCAGCGTGATGTCGTCTTCTTGGGTGTCATCCCATCTCCTTTCCTTGGCTGTTGCAGGTTCTGGCGGGATGTAGGAAGCGTGAGGGCCTGGGGGAAGTGGGGCTGTTGGTGTGATGTCCTGGGGTGGAGGGACAGGAGGTGGGAGGATCGGAGAGGACAGTCCTCCTCCCTGCCTGCCCTGCACTTAGAATGTTCTCTCATCTGTGTCTTTTCATTTATGATGCCATTGTCTTCAGGAAGGATTGGCATTTAAATGATGAGGGTATCTCAAGACGTTTTAAAAAGAAACCTGGAAAAATAAAACATGTTCCTGTAGTCTGATGAGGTGATCTGTTTATTCATGTGTCCTTTCATTCTGTAAATAAATGTGATATGTTATACTTACAATGGTTTTTAAAAAGTTGAGATGTAATTCACATAATTCACCTTTTTAAAGTATATAAGTTCAGTGATTATTTTGTATATGTACAGGGTACAACCATCACCACTTGTCTAATTCCAGAATACTCTCATCACCCCTAAAGGAAACCCCACACGCATTAGCAGTCCCTCCCTGTTCCTCCCCTGCCATCCCCCAGCCCCTGGCAACCAGTGATCTACTTTCTGTCTTTCTGGGTTTGCTTATTCTGGACATTTCATACAGTGGAATCATGTGCAATGTGACTTTTTGAGTCTGGCTTCTTTCCTTTAGCATCATGTGTTCACGGTTCCTCCACGTTGTAGCCTGTGTCAGTGCTTTGTTCCTCCTTACGGTCAGTACTCCACTGTATGGGAATTCTTAGTTACTCTGAATAATGCTGATCTGAAATTTTGTATATAAGTTTTTGTTTGAGCATATATTTTCAATTTCCTTGCTATAATAGTAGCAACAGGTTTTTTTTTTAAGTTTAACAATAATTTATTTAAAATTTATTTATTTATTTTTGGCTGCTTTGGGTCTTCATTGCTGTGCACGGGCTCTCTCTAGTTGCAGCTAGCAGGGACTACTCTTCGATGCGGTGCGCGGGCTTCTCATTGTGGTGGCTTCTCTTGTTGTGGAGCACTGGCTCTAGGTGCATGGGCCTCAGCAGCTGCATCACGCGGGCTCAGTTGTGGCCCACGGGCTCTAGAGCACAGGCTCAGAAGCTGTGGCGCACGGGCTTAGTTGCTCTGCAGCACGTGGGATCTTCCTGGACCAGGGCTCGAACCCATGTCCCCTGCATTGGCAGACGGATTCTCAACCACTGAGCCACCAGGGAAGCCCCAGTTTAACAATAATTTAAATATTTTTTCTGTGTTTCTGAGGTTTTTAAAAAATTGTTATGGCTGGCGCATCTGTGATACTGATGGAACACAGGTATCAGCCTATGCCTGTAGGTGGCTCTCGTTCCAGCTGCATGTGTGGGGAGGTGCTTAAGGAAGACTTTATTGCTATGATGGGGGTCAGTGCTGGAGGTGGCTGGCCAGGAATGATGCTGAGTGTTGACAAGAGGGGAGCGGGTGGTCCTCGTCACCAGGCCATTGCTGCAGGGGTCCTGGGCGGGCAGGGGAGGGAGGTAGTGCAGGGCATCCAGCCCTGGTGAAGGATGGGTGGATGCAGCTGAGATGGTTTATTTGAAAGTTTGAGTGTAAGTGGATTCTTAGTTTTTTGTATGAGTCACATTGAGAAGTCTTAGGTCACAGAGAAACAAGGGTCTGACGAACACAGCCAAGCCTGTCGGTCCACTTGGCCTTGCAGGGTAGACCCGCCCAGACGCTGGTGCTGCTTCCTGACTCACTTTTGTCCTGCTTTAGACCTCCTTCCCCCAGTCTGGAATCTGTGTCCTTGACAGGCTCCTGGGGTCTCCTGCCAGGCCCCCCTGGCCTGGAAGCTGCCTCTCCAGAGGCCACTGCTGTGTTCAGGTCAGGGTAGCTGAGCCGCAGGTGCCTCCACCATGGGGCTGGAGCCAGCAGTGACCACCCCTGGGGCGTGCAGCTGGCGAGGCCTGTGTAACCCCTGCCTGGACTGGCAGCGGCAGGCCTGTGCGTTCAGGCCACCAGCGAGAGTCCTGGGGGCGCCAGTGCTTTTTTTTTTTTAACGTTTTTGATCCTCTTACTGCTTGTCACTAGGTTGTTCCCAAGTTTTTTTAAAAAATTAATTTATTTTAACTTATTTTATTTTTGGCTATGGTGGGTTTTCATTGCTGTGTGTGGGCTTTATTTGCGGCGAGCGGGGGCCACTTTTCATTGCGGTGTGAGGATTTCTCACTGCGGTGGCTTCTCTTGTTGCAGAGCATGGACTCTAGGCGCCCGGGCTTCAGTAGTTGTGGCTTGCGGGCTGTAGAGCTGAGGCTTAGTAGTTGTGGTGCACAGGCTTAGTTGCTGTGCGGCATGTGGGGTCTTCCCAGACCAGGGCTTGAACCTGTGTCCCCTGCATTGGCAGGCGGATTCTTAACCACTGTGCCACCAGGGAAACCCTGTTCCCAAGTTCTGTTCCTTCTTCCCCGGGTGGGGCACAGGCGTTGGCAAGCCCACTGCTGCCCTCCTGCTGGCCCCTTCACTGGCCATGAGTGGGGAAGTGCTTTTTATTGGGACATCTCCCCGTTTGACACTCAGGAGGAGAGAAGGCCTCCATTTTCTCTTCCTCCTGAGGAATAAAATGATTTTCCCAAAGGCTTAGCAAAGTTGAACCCTGTGTCCCTGCCCGCTTGTTGGCCCAGAGGAGGAAGCCCTGCGGGGCCGAGGCCCTTTGGCAGCCGCACCCAGGAGCTGTCGGGGAGATGCGCCCTCAGTGAGGGTATCACCTGGTGTAAGAGCCCTGCCAGGGGAGGGGAGACCTGGCCCTCCCACAGCTCCCAGGGCAGGTACATCCTTCTGGAGCCTTCAGAAGCCTAGTGCTTCCTTTGGAAAACCCAGGTCTTTCTGGAATCATGCACGTTCTTTCCTTTCCTTTTTTTGAAGGAGAAATTTGGTTTAATTGCTGCTACTGCCGCCTGGGCAGGAGGAGACAGTGTTGGTGCTGAACTCTCCCGGGCGGGAGCGGTTTCACCATGAGCTTGTCAGACCTGAACGGGGAGGCTGGGTGTCCCCTGTGCATGATGAAACCTGCAGGTGTGCTGTGCTTCAGGATTGCGTCTGCCTCCTTCGATGCACTTGGCTTCATTCTATCCACCTGCTCATTAGTGTGGGTTAGGCGAAACAGGTGGACTCGTAACAAGTACCATCGAAACTGGCGCTTCATTTTTATTTCCCTTGAAGCCTGTTCCTCTTGCAGGGATGATTTTTAACCCTCTGGCAAGGAAATAAGTGTTTGGCAACTTCATTTCATTGGAAGGCCTCTTTACTGTAGATCTTTGAAACACCCTTTGGTTTAGTCCCTCTTTAAGCATTAGGATTAATGGAAATCTAGGAAATTCAAGGAAGGGAAACAAAATATTAAAAATTGAGGGGCTTCCCTGGTGGCGCAGTGGTTGAGAGTCCGCCTGCCGATGCAGGGGACGCGAATTCGTGCCCCGGTCTGGGAGGATCCCACATGCCGCAGAGAGGCTATAGGCCCACGAGCCGTGGACGCTGAGCCTGCGGGTCCGGAGCCTGTGCTCCGCAACGGGAGAGGCCACAACAGTGAGAGGCCCGCGTACTGCCAAAAAAAAAAAAAAAAAAAATTGAGGCTGGTGGCCATTTGAACTTGCTGCGCTCCGCTCACACTGGCAGGCATGCCGTCTCCGCTCTGGCTCCTCAGATTAGAGACTGACTGACAGGTGGCTCTGTGTGCTTCCCGAGGGCGGGCAGCGGACGGGGGCGCGCCATTCTGTTTGCCAGCTGCTGGGGTTGTCCCCCCTTCACAGTGAGGTTCTTCTGTCCGTTCTGTCACTGTCACAAGTACACCTTGTTAAAGGGTAAAGCAGTCACAAACAAGATTAAAGAGCAGGGAAGTGAAGACAGCAGATGCCCACAGTCCCACAGCCTGAGCCCCTTGTGGGGAGGGCGGGGACCCTGCTTTGGCACGTGGTTTAAGGACGTGGAGGAGCCTCATGTCCAGGTCAGGGTGGCTGTCGAGCAGGTGGCCCGCACCCTCGGACGGGCAGGCCGCACCCCGGATGCACGCCCCAGACTCCAGACGTGGTTGGCTCTGTCCCCCAGGGAGGAGCGGGTCCTACAGCAGCACCTGAGATCCCAGCGGGGGCAGCCCCTCTCCATGCCCCCGTCTGTGGAAGGGAAGCAGCAGGCCTCTGGCCTCAGAGCGTGGTGTGAGCTCACCCTTGAACTTGAAGAGAAGGCACTTGCTTACCCAGAACATTTCTCATGTGGCTTTGATTCCTCTTCTTTCAGGATTCTTTGGAAACGGCACCCTGTGGTTTCATTAAAGTTGTTTGGCCAGAGGACAAATTAACCAAACTGGGCTTTTTAGTCATAGCACTTGCCTGGGGCAGGGTTTCCGGTGGAGGAAAACGTGGTAGAACGATTTGAATGTGACCATTTTCAGGGTGTGGATGTTTATGTAATGTTCATGTGCTCCTATAGGATTCCGGTGAAATAAGCCATCTTCAGGTTTCTTGGGGGTCTAAGATGTGGAGCAGCCAACTCTGAGGCTGCTTTAATCTCACGTGACTCTGTTTTATGCGTGGCGGGCTGCCCAGTGCACGGGTCTTGTTAGAACACGCACTGTGTGAGGCTTGTCTCCGTTCACCGGCGGCCTGGTTTGTACACCTGCTGTGTGATGGGGTGACGTGTCCTGCTGGACAGGTGTGTGCTTGCAGGCAGCCAGCCTGGGCCCACGCTTGCACGGGAAGGGGCTTAGCCATCGCAATGCCTTTGCCTCTTGGATGAGAGACAAACACAGAGCGCTGTGCTCTATGAGACAAATGCAGACTGCTTGGCCAGTGTCCCTCCACCGTGGTGCCCCACCTCGTAGCCCCCACTTACCTGGCTGCCTGGCCACCCTCACCTTCCCTCCAGCACAGGGGTCCCTCAGGCTCTGTCTGTGCCCGACTCTCCACTGACCTTAGTCCTTGTTTCTGTCCTTGGTCCCAGAGCCCTGGTTCTGTGCACCTGTTGTGCTTCAGGCTCCGCAGGTCAAGGTAGCGTCTTGTGCTGTGGCTTTTCCCTCCTCCCGCCTGAGTTGCGAGTGAGACCCAGCCGCAGAGGAGGATGCTGGCCGGTGCTGTCTGTGCTCTCACAGGCTAAGTCCAGGGCCGAGCCCCAAGGTGGGGAGGTGGCTTGAGGCGTCTCCGAGGCCCCGCCCTCCTTTACTGGTCCAGTGCTTGCTGGGCTGTGCTGGCCACTTCCCTGGCCCATCCTTCACGCTGTCCAGGGTCCTCTCGGCCATCTGCCTGCTGCTGCCCTCCCTCCATTCAGGGGCTGGTCCAGTCTGGAGGGTCCCTCTGGGCAGTGACAACCGCCTCTGGGTGTTCTGGGTCCCATGCTGCTTTTCTGCTGCCCAGGTCGCCTGCCCTGTCAAAGCCCGTCAGTGGGCTTAGCTCTGCCCATCTGGTCCCAGGCGAGGTTCTTCCTCCCTTTCCTCCTTGTGTCTCCTCTTGTCTCACTTCCGCACAGAGCCCCCTCCTCCCCCTGGGTTTGGCACCAGAGCACGACCCCTGCCACTTCCTGCGTCCGAGCCAGCTCTTCTCGGGACGCTCCCCTGTGTGTCACAACCTCCTCCTCTGACCTCTGCTCTGGGAACTGCAGGCTTTATGTTGATCATTTCTAAGTTTCTGTGGCAGGAATTATGCCTTTTGCATCCTTCACACGTCACTTCGTTAGGCAAATAGGAGATGTATGATCAGTGTTTTTGGTACTTGTGAATCGACATTTTTCTGAAGAATCATTAGCACTGAGTAAGTGGTCCTAACAGGGCATGTTCGGGAGGGACTGGAGTCGACTGGTCTGGCTCTCCCTCCAAGATTGTTCCTGCAGGTCTTTGCCATCCTCAGGCTTGCTCTTCCCATAGTGGAGGTCGAGGTGGGGCAGCATCTTTGCTGACCTTCAGACTGATTCTGACCCTTTTAAGGGAAGAGCTTTTAGCTTTTTTTTGCTACATGGTGTTTGAAATTCCTGTATTAGGGGCGGTAGAAAGCCTGCTTGTGCCTGTACCTTTGTGTGGTTGCTCATGGTTTGTAGAGTCTGACCACGCTGTCTTGGGGTGGGTGGGCTGGACGAGGGCCACCCTGAGTGGCCTCCCAGTCATCCGCCCCGTGCCCTGGAAAGCTGGGCCCCTCTGTGTAGTAGGACCACAGGCAGCCCAAACGCTAGGGTCTAGGAGGGGTCATTTAAACGGCAACATCTTAATGCAGCTTGTTATTAGGATCCTGACTTCCGCGGGGGCTGTTTAGAACATTTGAGGAAGCTGGGTAGATAATAAGGTGGTGGAATACGTCGTTATGAGCAGATTGACATCTGAAAACAGGAGGTCACAGTCGTCAAGTGTCCTCTGGGCTCTTGTGCACCATGCAGCCTCATCTTCCAGACAGGACGTAGGAAGCTGCAGTCAGTGACTGGGGCGGGGCGGGCCGGGCCGTCTCCCCTCCTGTGAAGGTGTGTGTTTATGATTGGGATTTCACTGTTAGGTTAGGAAAAGATTTAACACATAATGGGAAGATAAAACTAATGTGATTATTTTGATCATTTAAACATTTCTTTTTGAAGTTAATTTTTATTTACATATTTGTGTACTTAAAATCCTTTATAGTTTACTTGATATAAGTGCATTTTATCAGAATTGTATTTTTTCATTCTGGGTCCTAGCTGATAATAATCAGCTGTTATCCTAGCCATTGAAAACTCAATTTCAACAACTAAAATTTTTCCACATTTGGAAGTTTTTTGTTTTCCCCTTAGTGTATGCAATCCTGAGGAAGTAAACCAGGCACCCTCTCGAGAGAACAGATGTCTTGCTTCTTCTTGGGGTGGGAAGTGCCTCTGGTTGGGCTGGCTTGCCCCTCCCCTCCCTCAGGCCTGGTCCTGAGCACAGTCTGGTGGGCATGGCCTTCAGGCCAGTTGTCCTCCTGTATTTCTTAGTGATCCCCTGTACAGTTTCAGGTTACTGTCATTTCTTGGGGTGGTGGTGGCCCTCCCCCTCCCTTTTATTTTTGCAAGCCAGTAGTCGTGTGTGTGTGTGTGTGTGTGTGTGTGTGTGTATGTGTGTGTGTGTGTATGTGTGTGTGTGTGTCGGGGTGGAGGGTGGTGCACGTGGTGGGGTTCTTCTCCTCTGACCTGCAGGGAAGGGGGGCCTGGAGCGTGAGTTAAGAGAATTCGTCTGTATAGTGCCCTTGGGTGTTACTCAGAGGGCGCCAAGCTGTTGGGCTTTGTTGCCTTGCATGGAAGGTTTGGTCCTGGCTCGGCTCTGTGGCTCCAGCAGGGACCATCAGTCAAGCTCTGGAGTGGCGTCCAGCCTGAAACTGTTGTGTCAGTGCTCATGGTCCTTTCTGTTTACGTTTTGTCCCCTTTGTGTGTGCACATCCAGGAAGAGCTGTGATACTGGGGCGTGGTCCCCTCTGTTGCTCTGGGACAGGACTCAGGAGCACAGAATGGGGGAGCTTGTCCTGCCTGAGCCCCATCCTGTCTGCTGGTTGGTGCGTTTGTGATGTCACGTCTTTCTGAGGGACTGGGAATGGGGCCATCATGCAGTGAGGTGCCCCTCAGTGCCAGTGCTCATCAGCTCACAGGGTAATTCTTGGGTGCTAGTAAGTGGCACCCCTGAGCCGTGTGGTGTGGGCCCCTTTCTCCCAGGGCCTAGGGTGGAGCTGCTTTTCTTGCCCTTGACTCAGTGGTGCCTTCAGGGGCCTCAGACCAGCATCTCCTGCTTGGCAGCCGGGCGGACTTGCTCTCAACAGCCGACAGCCTGTGATTTATGGCTGGAGAACATGCCCTGGGGAGGGAAGCTGGTTGCATGGTGCAGAAGAGCTGGCTTGGGTGGGTAGTGATCGGAAGGTGTGGTGGTTTAGAGTGATTACTGGGAAATGCATTTGTTTGCACTTTATGCTGTGCTGGTTTCTAGAACAACAGGAGCAGACCTGGCGGTCATCTCTCCTCAGATGGGTGTGCTGTGTGGTCTCGTCTCTCTGTGGTGTGAGGGCTTGTATGGAGTGTGTGCTTCCAGCTGGTGGTTTTCAGTTGGCTCATGTTTTATGCTTCCATGAAAAATGGGGTACACTCCCCATTTAGTGGCCCGGCTGATGGATCCTCCTGACCATCTGAAGATGAGAGCATTTCTGTTGGCCACTTCCTCCCGTTGCTGGGGGTCACTGTTCTCTGCACATGCCGGGTTGGACCGTGTGCTCTCAGGAGGGAAGGGCAGTGAAGATGGCCCTACTTTACGTGGAAAAATAGACTAAGAAACAAAATCAAAGCCCTGGCCCTCTATGATTTTTGTTCCTTTTCATCCCTTTAGCCATTCTGAGTCTGTTCATGGGAGAGTCTGTAACTCCTGTGACCTTTGCCTTTGTGCATACAGAGCACCCCCACCCCTGGGAAATCCTGTGGGCTTCAAGGTCAGGAAAAGTGTAGGGATAAAAAGAACCCACCTTGGGCTTCCCTGGTGGCGCAGTGGTTGAGAGTCCGCCTGCCGATGCAGGGGACACGGGTTCGTGCCCTGGTCCGGGAAGACCCCACATGCTGCGGAGCGGCTAGGCCCTTGAGCCATGGCCGCTGAGCCTGCGCATCCGGAGCCTGTGCTTCGCAACAGGAGAGGCCACAACAGTGAGAGGCCCGCGTACCATAAAAAAAAAAGAACCCACCTTGAACCCATAAAAGATGGGGTATTGGGTCCCCTTTGGTCCAGACAGTGGCCTGCAGCCTGGCCTTGGGGTTGGTCCCCTCTGTGGGGTGGGGACCATGGGGGACTGTCACCATCTGCCCATGCCCAGTGGCGGGCTGTGTCAGTGACAGTTGTCCTGGGAAGTCTTCACTACTTGTTCTTTTCTCTTACTTAGACTTTGTAAGGAATTTGGCAAATGAAGGATGTTCATGTGTGAGAGCATTTGGGGCCTTTCCTCGTATTTTAAATTCTTATTATTTATCAGTGAATGAGACCAAAGAGCGTTTAAGTGGTCACCAGGTGCTGTCAGTTCTGTTTCCTGCCGTTGCCTGTCCAGCCTCCCTCCCCCTGCAGACCGTCTGCCCTGGTCTAGGCGCCCCACCTCAGCTTCCCGGACGTTGAGAGTGGCCTCCCCATGTGTCCCGCACACTGCTGCCAGGGTGGTGCCTGCAGGGTGAGATTTCAGTCCCTCACACGGATCCTAAGGAGGGAGCTGTGTCTGTCGTGGACAAGCCACCCCCTAAGCCTGTGGCTCTGCACAGCAGCTGTTGTGTGTGGATTCTGTGGGTCCTGACAGGCCAGGGCATGGGCTGGGGGGGCACTTGTCTCTGCCTCGTGTTGCCAAGGGCCTTGCCTGAGAAGCCCGCACTGTGTGGGTGACTAGAAGGGTTAGGCTCAGCTGGGCCTGTGGACTGTGGCTCCTGCGTGGCACCTCTGCATGTGGCTACTGGGTTTCCAGGGAGAGTGTCCCAGGCAGAGGATCCTGGGCTTGGCAGTCACAGTGTTGCTTCTGCCTGGCTCTGTTGGTTGAAGCAGCTGGAAGACCCCTGGCCCCAGGGAGGGAGGCAATGACCCCAGAGACCCCGGCTGTGGAGGGGAGGAGGTCAGAGAACTTGCCACATAGGGTGACCGTACGATTTTTATCCACACTATGTATTTGAGAGTAAAAGGAGGCTCTGCTCTATTCATAACAAAGCTGCCAGGAGTGAGGGGGGTGAACTGGCCAAGGTGCCCGTCTGACCCGATGCTCCAGTAGAACAGTGTACCCGCGGCCCGCCTGCATGGGGTGCCCATCGGTAGACCTTGTCCCTGCGCTGAGAGCTGCTGAAGGGAAGCTTCTCGGTGAGGTTTGTTTTTGACGCCCCCCCCCCGCCCCCCGGCACTATTAGGCATCTCATCGCACGTTGTGTGGACCCCATCACACCACTGGTCTGCAGACGGTAAGTGGGTATTTTGGTGCTTTTGGCGCCCTCCCAGATTCCAAGTCCTCACATGGAAGGAACCAAGTGTTTCTGCTCAGGAGTAATTGTTCTGAAAATGGATGACTTGTGTCTAAAATATATTAAATTGGATGCATTTGAATTTACATGGAGTAAGTTAACTTTAAATTTTGTAAATGAAACCTAGGGAAGAGTTCTTAAAAGAAAATAGTTTTTGGACAAACGAAAGGAATATTTCTGTATTTACCAGGTAGGAGACAATTCAGATATCATTGGTTAATATAATGCGTTTTATGTTCATTTGCATTTTATTCTCTGAGTGGCTCAGCGAACTGGTACCATCACTGCCGCCTGTCGTTTACTGAGGAAACTGAGATTCAGAGAGGGTGCCTTCCTGCCCCGTCACACAGGTGGTCAGGGGTCTGGATGCTTCTCTGTGTGACATTCGTGGAGAATCCTCAGCACAGTCAGTGGGTAGTGTAGGAAGAGCTCCTTCTTCTTTGAAAAATCATTTTTATTCTACACTTGGTGAAGAGATTAAGCAGTCCAGAGGCTTGGTGATGACAATACATCAGCCCTTGTCTGCTCTTGTCAGCACAGCCCCTTCTCCCGGAGACAGCCCGCTTTGTGCTGAGGGTGATTGCTGCCCCTTCCTCCTGCACAATGTGCTCCAGCCCATCTGCTGGCTTGCTGATGCCCCTCCTGCTATCTCCCAGCTTTGTTGACAATGTCACTGTTTTTAGGTGCTCTGGACCTGTTTCCTCTGCCATCCCCTCTCCACAGGGTCTCCTGATCCCACCCCTCTTTGTAAGAGGATGTCATGGTGCTT